ATATATATATATATATATAAGAATAATAAGTTAATAAAAGGAGACAGTTATGCACAATAAAAGGAGACAGTTATGCACAAAAAAAAGGAGACAGTTATTGTATAAAAAAGAGACAATTAGTGCAAAAAAAAAGAGAGACAATTAGTGCATAATAAAAGGAGACAATTAGTATAGGGAGAAAGGAGACAATTAATATAGGCATAAAAGGAGACAGACACCTTAGGGACAGTTATGAATAAAAAAAAAGGAGACAGTTATGAATAAAAAAAGGAGACAGTATATAGAGGGCAAGAGGAGACAATTAATATAGGGATAAAAGGAGACAATTAATACCTTAAGGGTTCTTGATGAATCTATTTATCTTATGGTGTACAAGACTTATAATAAAAGGAGACACTTATAGAGGATAAAAGGAGACAGTTATTAATGTATAAAAAAAGAGACAATTAGTGCAAAAAAAAAAAGGAGACAGTATATAAAGGAAAAAAGGAGACAATTAATATAGGGAAAAAAGGAGACAATTAATATAGGGATAAAAGGAGACAGACACCCTAGGGTTCTTGATGAATCTGTTTATCTTATGGTGTACAAGACTTATAATAAAAGGAGACAGTTATGCACAATAAAAGGAGACAGTTATTGTATAAAAAAGAGACAATTAGTGCAAAAAAAAAAAAAGAGAGACAATTAGTGCAAAAAAAAAAGGAGACAATTAATATAGGGAAAAAAGGAGACAATTAATATAGGGATAAAAGGAGACAATACCTTAGGGTTCTTGATGAATCTCTTCATCTTAGGGTGTACAACATCCTTATTGAGCATAATACCATTAATCATACAACTATCCTCTATGTCTCCTCCAGGTATCTTCTCTATCTTACAGTATCTCCTATAAATAAATAAATAAATAAATAAATAAATAAATAAATAAATAAATAAATATAAATAAATTAATATAAATATACATATACATATTAATTAATTAATTAATTAATTAATTAATTATATAGATACACACACGGAGAGAAAGAGAGAGAGAGAGATATAGATATATATAATATAAAAGGAGACCGCTAGACACACAGAAGAAAGGAGACAAATAAAAAGGAGACAAATAAAAAGGAGACACTTATAGAGGACAAAAGGAGACACTAGAAAGGAGACACTTATAGAGGATAAGAGGAGGACTAAAAAAGCGAGAGAGAGAGGGGAATAAATAAAGAAGGAGACAATAAATAAAATAAATAAAATAAATAAAATAAATAAATAAATAAATAAATAAATAAATAAATAAAAAGGAGACACTAACTTAATATCTATATCTAATTTTCCTGATGGTAATAATCTTGCAATCTTTTTTGTTGCATTAATAGCCATCTTTGTTAATAAATGTTGGTAATTAGCGGAGAATTTAGTACATAAAGAAGAAAGGAGACAATTAATAAATAGGGATTCTTTTTCTTCTTTTTCTTCTTCTCCTTGTCTTCCTCCTTCTCCTGGTTGTATTTGTTTATTTATATCTATATTATCTATAGATATAGATATATTATCTAGATATAATAATAAATCATTTAATGCATGCAAATAACCTTGGACAATTAATACAGGATGTATATTATAATTAATTAATAAATTAATTGTATTTATTAATATTTCTCCCCCTATTATTATTACTGATGTACTACCATCCCCTACTTCTTCTTCTTGGTTACGAGACAATTCTATCATTGATTTTGCTGCTGGATGTAATACATCTACCTGTATATATATACATATATACATATATATTTATTTATTTATTTATTTATTTATTTATTTATTTTTTTTTTTTTTTTTTTTTTTTTTTTTTT